CACACACCGATGAAATTTAATGCACGACTCGAGCCTTCACCCGCTGTTTTCAAGAACATTCGAAACGCCTTTTTCTCATTTTTTTCCACTCCTCTTCCTTCCAGATACAAATTCGCCAGTAAAATCTCGCCACAGGTTCTATTATATTTTCTGAATAACTTGATTTTCGACGATCCCTCACTCTTATCTTCAAATGCATCGCTGATGGATTTTAAATAATATTCAAATGCAAGATGATAATCGATCTTGGTGCCAATTCCGTATTCGTAAAAAAATCCTATCATACTTGTGAAATAAGAATGTTTTCGATGACTAATCAAATAGTGAAGCAATCTACAAGGGCTTTTACTAGAATCTTGAATGTAACATTTAATGAAAATTTGCATCATGTGTAAGTGCTGCTTTATGAATAGTTCAGAAAAAAGATCGAATAAATACAAGATGAACATATCTAACTCCGTGGCCTGCACTTCCGATGGTGTGATTTTTCTAAATGAAAGACTTTAATCGATTACTCCCGCTTCAAATTTTCTTTCTTCTTGTGTGATGACAAATAAAATCCGTTTACCTATTAGAATCTAAAACGTTCCCTGTTTCATTATGATGAGTAAAATGTTCATTTATTTCTGTTGTAAAATCAAGTTTACTGAGATCTTCAACAACCTTTTCAATATTTGGATGCTCGATTTGCCAGCAATCTGTTAAAATACTTGAGTTTTAATCAAGATCAAGTTAACTTTAACAATCAATTATAAATATACCTGTATAAATCTTCACATACTCATGAGGTTTTCCATTGCTACTTATGTCAAAACCAGTGTTTTTCAACGAATTCTGTATAACTCCATGGTCAAGTGTATTCAAGTTGTCATTCGAAATCTCCCAAAGAACGATACCCAGATTATAAATATCAGATCCCTTTTTGCATTCGATGTTATCACAAATTTCTAAATGTCGGGTGTCCGTGTAGCGAATCGAACCCCGAAGTGTTAATAAAAAATTTTTCAATCTCTTTGATCGCCCAAAATCACTTAATTTAATAATTCCCCCGTGAATAAGAATATTTCTGGAATTCTGTTTATCATCAGAAAAAATATGAATATTGACCACAGTCCAGTGATTAAGAAACAAGGCCTAAGGTTGATTTACCAAACTTCCATGAACGATATTGTTCTCATGCAAAAACTTTAATGCACCGGCAATTTGCCTTGCAAGGTTTAGCTTGGCATTCCAATTCATATTTCTGCTATTTTCTTTCAAATATTGTTGAAGTGGCCCATCGCTGGCATGTTCAAGGACCAGCATAAGCCTTTTTGGATCATAACCTGAACAATTCAATCATTTAGCTCATTGTTATGAAGTAGGCTTTACTGATACAAATACCTTGATCCGTAATCCCCAAGAATTTTATAATGTTTTCGCAGATTTCCAATTTTTGATGTTTCTTTATCTTTGTTGTGATGATTTTTTTAAGAAAATAAACGGATGTGCAAATAATAATGAATAGTGGGATTACAGATTACATTGCTATTCTCCATCATTCAAACTCACTTCACTTATCAAATTTCCTATCGTAAAATTTTCATCTAGGTCGATTTGTCTTAGGACCACTGATTCTCGAGAATCTTTTATTGTGGCCTTAAGGACATTCAATCTGATGATCTTAAAGTTCTCAAAGTCATCATATTCATAAAATGCAATGTGCTCCCTCCGAATAATATCATTGATCTTTGGATTATCCATAATTTAATCTCAATTTTATGAATTTAATGCAAATTTCAGGTCGGTACGTTGATTAGCCTCACGTCATGAATGAAATCGTTACACAATGATTCCGCGGATCCTACTACTGATTGGTCAACATTACAGCATAGAAGATTACATGCTTACAACAAAATAATGGTACGATACGATAGCCATTTTAAAGTTCACGGTTCTTTGAAAATATTAAGATATTTAAAGAAATTAAATTAAATTATTATTGCTCAAAATTATTATTATACTGTATATTCCATGCTCAATAATTTATTTTTTTAAATAAAATTTCTAAAATTTGATATAATAAATAGATAAATAATATACTGTACGTATATGTGTAGTTTTGTTTAAAAAATTTAAATGTACATTGATTATACCATTAAAAAACATGAGACCTGATGGATTTTCAATAAGGTATATTGGAAATTTTTCAAAAAAAAAAAAAACTTTAACTTAAAAGCCTTTAATCGAACAATTAATAATGTACTGCATATACTGTATATTAAAAATTTACAAATTTATGTGTGCGTATAAACTTGTAATATGTATTTTTAAAATTAAAATATGTCATTTTAATTGTAATAAAATTTGTAATTTATTTTAAAATCGTAAACAAATACAGTAATGTATTAGAGCTAAATATTTTAACTATTGTAATATACCTGTCAATAAGTCTTATAATTTTATACGTTTATTTTAAAATAGTAGAAAATACAAGAGTAACTATTTAGTAATATCTGTAACAAGTAATTTGCAAAACATATATATATACTGTATATATATATATATTTATTTATTTAGATAAATATCATTTTTTTATTTAATTTGTATAATATTAGATATACAATGTAAAGAAACAACATTTCTTATATGTAACAATATAACAAGTTAAATGCTAGCTTGCCTACTTATTAATATCTAATTAATATTGTAAAAAAATTCAAAATCAATATTAATGTGCTAGATAAGACTGAGTAGCAACTATTTCTACTATCCTAGAAAATTTTGCGAATTCTTTTTATTTTTTAAATATAAAAAATTGAAAAGAAAAATAAAATTGACTATAACTAGAACTAAATTAAGTATACTATATAATCTATGCGTTGAACGAAAGAACTTTTTGATAGGCTCGTGATTTCAACTCTCCAGCTCCCTACATGCTATAGATAATAGAGTACATATAATGTTGTTTGTTGTTATGATTATTGGTGATAAGTTATTTGTTGTTGTTGTTATGATCATTGTTGTGATACAAAACCAGTTTGAACTTGTTTGGTTTTTGTTTTGATCATTAGATGAAATCTGATTGGATGATTGAAAAGTGTTGATCATCTGGAGGGGGTAAACTGATTTTGGTTTTTTGAATGAGAAATTTTTGACGAATGAAAGTGGTGCAGCAAATATTGCTACGAGAATATTATATATAAGGGTTAACTTGAAACAAACAGTAGACCCACTAACTTTGTTTGAGTGTGTGTTTTGAAAAGTATTTGGCTTAGCGAGTATGATAGTAATGATGTGGATGATTTTTATGATAGAATAAGGGTAAGGAGGGATGCAAGAAAACTGAAGAAAAGAGAATCGCTACAAGTCTTTCCTCATGCAACTGAAGGATAAGCAAGACTTTCAAACTTGAATAAACTTTGACCAGAGGTCCCATCCCACTGCATCAGTTGTCTTGAAGATTCTTGAGTTCTTGAGCTAGGACTAAGGATCCTAACGATTCTCTTCGATTCTGTATTCGATTCTCAAGTTTATATTAAATTTAATAGGTGGGGTATACCCCATCATCATTTTTAATAGTGTTCCGAACCTCATGTGATTCTGTTCGATTCTATTCGATTCCAATTTTCGGAACCATATAATCGGTACCATTCAGTACAGTATTTTATAAAACTGATACCGAAAATTTTTTCGGTATCAATATCAATAATTACCAAAAATTTTCAGTACAAAACTTTGTAATATTGATATCAAACCGAAAATATTGAAATCAAATATTAAACTAATATAATATAATATAATATAATAACTAGAATTCTAATTGGTACAATGTAATATATAGATAAATACTTTATTCAATAAATTTGTTCTATATTCTTCTAAAAAATTTCATAAGTTTGTGTGATGAATCGGTAGTATCTTCCATGATTAGGTAGTAGATATTTTTGAATATATTTCTTTCAAGTTTGTTGTGAGTCCCTTGTGACTTTCAATAGTTCTTCTAGGTAATACAGATGGGTTAATACAATAATTTGATAGGATTATTATATATATTAGATAATTTTCAAGATCATCATCCTAATAGACTCATTGATTGGTGCAATTGAATTATATGATATAATAAATTTCTCAAAAGTTTTATCCAAAATAAAAAGCGTATCTATTTTAAATAAGTTTATTTTTCCCAAGGCAAATCGTTGACATGTGAATTTGGGTATTTTCTATAGTAGAAATTTTCTCAAGATATGAGTAGTTAAATAGTTTTTAAGATTATACCAATTAATATTGTTGGTCACTTTTATATTTAAAGACTTGAATTTTTCCCTTGCTATACTTTTATCTTCCTTTTCCTAATTATAATTATGCCTCATATTAATAGACTTGCTCATGCCATTGAACATCCTAATATTATTGTTGATTGCATTATGGCCCTTCAAGAGAAAATTAAGTTCCTTGATCGTGTTATTATTAGATGTAAATGTCCAAAATATCAAGAAGAGTTGGTTAAGTTACAAACCAATTATCTCAATTGCAGTCTCAATATCAAGAACAAAGAAATCAGCTGCGACATCTTCAAATTCATAGTTAAGAATCCTTAGGTTGCTATTGGTCTCATATTACTTCACTTCTTGAGATAAATAAATGCTAATCGGATGGTAGCAAGGCTTTATCAAGAAGATGCTTTATATTTAGAAGTTTTTGCACTTCGGGAGTATATTAGTGAGCTTCAATCAGTATTATTTTAGTATCATTATCCTATTCCTAGTTGTTGTCCTTTTTCTTGGCAGGTTGATATTACTTTCCATCCTTTTGTTTGGAATCCCAATTCTTCTTGGGTAGAGAGCTATCCACATAAAGATCCTAATTCTAATCCTAGCAATACTGAATATTTTGCTCGCTTCCCAAATTCGCACGTAATTCATGAACCTTCAGAACTATTTTTTTAAATAAATTGCTTTGTTTATATTATTGTTTACATTTTTCTTATCACTGTGTTACTCTGTGAGTCAGTGATAAGATGACAATAAGGTGTTGCTCAGTGGGCTCTTGTTGTCATATAATTTTGAATTTTTTTTTTCAATAGATATTCTCCAAATTATTATACAATATATTATTGTCTAATATGAAATTTCTTCCAAAAAAAGATAAGTATATAATTTTTTTTTTTTTTTTTTTTTTAATACCAGAACGGCAATTAGTACCTTTATTACTTGTAAGGGATTACTGCATGGCA